TCACCTTAGAATCCCCTTCAATCAATAGGTTCTCCACTCCTAGTTGATTAGCAATCTGAATTCCCTGTACTGTAGCCAATATCTCAGCTCTTGTAGAGTCCCCTATCCCTATTGGGCCTGAGAATAAGGATATGATGTTGCATTCTCATTCCTCAATACTATTCCAATGCCAGACAGTCCTGGGTTACCCTAGCTGCTTCCGTCAAAATTCAATTTAAAAAATCCTTCTAGGGGAGTTACCCAAACTGTAGTGGCTCTGGTTTTTCTAACCGAAGTGTGTGCAACTATGGCCCAATTCCTCCAGATGTCATCAAATGAAAAAGAGCTGAAAGAAACCAAGGATTTCAGCCAATATATAGCCCTGGTTAAGATACATTCCTTCACTTCTGTAAAGGACCTCTCTTTATCTTCGAAAGTTCTAGCAATTCTTTCTTCCCAAATTGTCCATAGGGTGGCTGCTTTGAAGCATCTCCACATACTCCTCCCTTTTTTTGTTAGGCAAGCAAAGGTAGTTGGTGAGAATAATGATTTTACCTATGCTGATTGATTCCACCTACATCCAAACAAAACAAACATCCAATCCCAAAGAGTGGCAGCAAAGGAACAAGAAACCAGTAAGTGGTAACAGTCCTCACTATGAGAATTGCACAGTACACACCAGTTTGGGGATAAACAAATGAAAGGCTTTTTCTTTTGTAAACTCTCCAAAGTATTAATCTTACCAATGTACACTTTCCAACAGAAAACAACAATTTTGGGGGACCACAGGCTTTGTCCAAACTTCTTTCACTGGGAAAGGCTCAAAATAAGTACTCAATCAAAGGGATTTGAAGAAGGATAAACAAGTGAAAGAACCTTTTGGGATAGGAACCCACACTCTTTTATCAGGAGAAGAGGGTCCAAGCAAACACTCTCTAGAATAGATAGAAGTTCAGTAACATGCTCTCATATGTTGGTTCAGCCAGAGTGTAGTTTAAGGTTGGGTCTCTTTTCGTCTTGAATTTATAAAGTTTTCGTGATCATATCAAATGACAAAGGTGAGGAATGATGGTAGGAAAAGAAAGGCTAGCATCCAAAAGCATATATGAAGATAAGTTGGACAACTGAAAAACACCATTTACAACAAAATGAAGAAAAAATTGGACAAGGATGGTTCAGTCATGGTTTCTTGTTCCTTGTGTCTCGGTAGTAAGGTCACAAATTCCCAAGCAAAGTTTAGTGAACAGTTGTATGTAATTGGTGAAGGGAAAGAACCAATTGGTAGAAAGACCTTCACAATCCCTTTGGGTCATTCAGCACTCAGAATAAGTAGAAGAAATATAGTGATAGTTTGATTCTTAGCCACTGTAGTAAATAGAATAGGAGCAATGGAGAGAATTACCATTCTTTGTATTTAACTATTTACAAGAGAAACAAAAGAAAAAAGCAAGAAAGTATTTAGCTGTGCCACAATAACTAAAAAGATTCCTTTGATAGCTAATCATTTATTAAAAAAGGTGAAAAGCTAAAAGCATGATGAGGAGCATTTCTCGATTTTTAGAACAGATTTTATGGTAGGTTAAATTTTGGAAATTTGTACATTAGGTCATAAGCTATGAGAATTTATGCTTACTACTAATGTCTAAATATTCACTACATCTGATTCCTATTATCAGAAATCTGAGGTTCATCTAAACACCAAACTGGAGCTAGCACGATTCACATCAAGTGATACACAAGGTTCAAAGAAGCAAATAACAATGTTCTCATTACCTACTAATTTCCAAACTATGATATATTAAGTATACTAAAGAACATGAAAATTGAAATTTTATATAGAAAGATTAATGAAATATCTTTTTAACAGTGAAATAAAATATTGTGATACTTAAAAAACTATATAATTTAAGGGAACACAAATTCATACCTTAATTCCTCGTCGGTGTTCTTCATCTAGTTCAAACAAAACAACTTCAGGTACCCCTACTTTCTCCATCAACTGGGTCTGAGTTGCTTCAATAACCAATTCATCTTCAGAATCATCAGTGCCACTGAAAGAAGAGATAGAAAAAGATATCAAAACCAAAAGTTTCCAATAAATATAATCATACTATGAGAAATAGCATATCAACAAAAAGTTACAGAGTGACAAGATAAAAAGAAAATATGCATTATCAAGCTCCACAATAATAGGAAAGAATTAAGTTATATATAGACAATGTTGTGCTTGAGAACCAAATTTTAAGTATTTTGAAAATGGAAGCCTTTTTTATAAAGTCATCACTCAATCAAATTGTATATATGAATATGATGGAGCACATCAATTTAAATGTAGCAGAATATGGTTTTTCATGGCAAACCAGTGAGCTAATGCTATGGAAGATGGTTCCCTTTGCCATATGCTGGGGAATATGGCTAGAAAGAAACAACAGGATATTTATGGGAAAATTACTGCTAAAAAGGTGATGACTGGAAGCATGGAGAGACTAGTAATATTATGGTCAAAGGTCCAAGAAGTTCCACAACTTTAGATATTCTCATTTTTGTAACCAATGGCAAAGAACCACTGATGATAGTGATTTTGAATTTTCAAATAGCTAGATATACATAATTGATCTACACCTTGGGCTGAGAAAATAGCCCATTGATTTTGAGGGCCCTCTCCCTTTATCTAATAAAATAATATACTTTTCAAAAAAAATGTAACAGAATATGGCAATTTAAATTAAACAGAAAAAAATAGGTGAATATTTAAAAGTGAAAGACCAAATATGGTTGGTTAAACTATATAATAGTAATGCTGGGGAAAAAGGAAATTTCAACAAGTGATCAAGAAAAAAGAAAAAAAGAATTTCAACAGTAAGAAATTGGAAGAAAAACATAAAGAAAAAAGTGGAGTAGTTGTTATACAAGATAGAAGAAACAAACTTCTGGAGATGAAAATATAAGATAGAGATTAACTAAAAAGAGAGATACTCAAAGCTACAAAGTAAATTTGTTTATCAAATCAACTCCAAAAACTCCAATTACAATGAATCCATTTACAGGCTCAATATAAGGGGCCAGACCTCCCCTTAAAACCTCCAATTCAAAATTGGAAGCTGCTAAGAAGAAACCCCATTTGCACTAGGCCTAAGGCAAACCCATATATAACCAATGTGGATACTAAACTATGAATTCATTTACTCCTAAAATAACTCAAAGTACCTACTGCAAATCCTGCTAAAAATAGACAAATCAAAAACAACTCCAAAAATAAACAAGAATTAAAACAAAAAAAAAAAAAAACAAAGGCAACCAACACCCTATCGGTAAAGTTGTTATATCTTCCATGCATACATCGTGGTCTCTGATTCAAGAATACTCATCCTTGTTTTTTTTATGGGTAACTTCGAACTATAATATATTAAAAAGAATTGAAAGGAATAGTAGAAATCTGCTGAATTAAAAAATATGAAAGAAAAGTAGTTTCTTGAAGAAAGAAGGAGAAGAAGAGAAGTTGAAAAGAAGAGAGCAATAATCTGGCCGCCCCCTTCACTTATTATTTATACTAAAAATAATAGAGGCAAAACATAAAATAGCATATATAACACTCAAAAACATAATAAAATTTGGACTCACATAACTACTGTGGTCCCCACCTCCTATCTAACAACTAACATAAAACATCTACTCAGAAAAACATCATAAAACTGATTAATCTTCAACACTCCTCAAGTTGGGAGTAAAATGTCACACATTCCCAACTTGCGTAGATCATGTTCAAGCTTGTTCTTTGCCACCCCTTTAGTAAGAACATCAGCCAACTGCAACTCTGAAGAAACGTAAGGCAAACAAACTTCTCTGGTTGTTACCATTTCTCTTATAAAGTGTCTACCAACTTCAATGTGTTTTGTCCTATCATGCTGAATTGGATTGTGGGCAATATTGATTGCAGCCTGATTGTCACAATATAACATCATAGGTTCCTCTGCTTTCACCCCAATCTCACTCAAAAGAGATCTAACCCAAAGAAGTTCTGAGACACCATGAGCCATGGATCTATACTCAGCCTCTGCACTTGACCTTGCCACAACCGCTTGCTCCTTACTCTTCCAGGAGATCAAGTTTCCACCTACAAAGGTACACACTCCTGATGTAGACCTCTTGTCATCTAAGCATCCTGCCCAATCTGCATCTGTATAGGATTCTAGCTTCAAATTCTCATGATTTGAGAAAAGAATGCCTCAGCCAGGGTGCTTTTTCAAATATGCAAGTATTCTCTCAATAGCTTCCCAGTGTTGAACCTGAGGTGCGTGCATGTACTGACTCACAACACTGACAGCATAAGAAATATCTRRTYGTRYCATACACARATACARYARTYRDCCCACCATTCTTTGATATCTCCCCACATCCTTTACCAATTCACCATCCACACCATTAATTATATGATTTGGATCAATAGGAGTGTTTGCTGGTTTGGTCCC